AAAAATGCAATTGAAGCTAACAACTGGCCACGAATGCAACTAGGCCATCCATGGAATCAAAACAAGGCGGCTAGCAAGTTGGACCATGATGCGCTGGTGTTCAAGTTGGCTGCTTGATCGCGGCTACGGGTATGTTGAGTTTTTGTTGTGGCTTGCTGCGCACTGCACGCAAAGCTCACCAACACTTCAAAAACCTGTTTCTAATGCTTTCAAAGCCAAGCTACAGCTTCAACCAATCGGAGGTGTGCTCTAGTTTGGGCGGATAACGTCTACAACACAGCCCTTCATGTGAAGATGCGAGAGCCCAAAACATGAGAGCCTGATTTGCTTTCGAGCGGCAAAGATCCATCCACTTCCGCCTCCTCCTCCTGATCCTGATTGCTTCAACTGTTCCTGGCGTGAAGACTTCAAAAGTTGCCGGCGAGTTCAGTTCATAACGAGCCAAGTCTGTCGGCTGGGCATATTGTTTTCCTTCAGGAGCCGAAAGAACTCCAGGCGACTCGCTCCTTAAGTTTGTGTTCAAACTGGAGGTGGAGCCTGTAGCTAGTCGACAAGGGTGGAATACCCAAACGCAAAACGACCAAAGCATTCATGTTTTCTTTTCCCTGACCTGAGCTCACCGCTACTAAGCTTGGAGGCCGTCGCTAGTAGGTTTGAGACCATCGCTAGTAGGTTGGAGCCCACCGCTATTAGGTTAGAAGATATCGCTAGTAGGTCGGAGGCCATCGCTCGTAGGGTGGTTGGAGGCCATCGCTAGTAGGTTGGAGGCAATCGCTATTAGGTTGGTGGCCATCGCTAGTAAGTTGGAGGCCATCGCTAGTAGGTTGGAGGCCATCGCCAGCAGGTTGGAGGCCATCGCTATTAGGTTAGAGGCCATCGCTAGTAGGTTGGAGGCCATCGCCAGTAGGTTGGAGGCCATCACTATTAGGTTAGAGGCCATCGCTTTTAGGTTAGAGGCCATCGCTAGTATGTTGGAGGCAATTGCTATTAAGTTAGAGGCCATCGCTATTAGGTTGGAGGCCCTCGCCACTTTGTTGGAGGCCATCACTAGTAGGTTGGAGGCCATCGCCATTAGGTTAGAGGCCAACGCTAGTAGGTTGGAGGCCATCACTAGTAGAATGAAAGAAAAAGAAAAAGATTCGATTTGTTAGTGTGTTTTTTAAATGTTGGACGACCAAAGCATGCATGTTTGCTCTTCCGTGACCTGAGGGTGACACGGTCGTCTGTAGATATCAAGGACCCGGATGGACCAGAATGCTTCCGCAAAAACCTTGTGACTTTTGTGACTTTCAAACTGCGGGGAGGTGCTTGACGGAATCAAGTAAGCTTGCAAGCTGTGCACATCTTGCGAAATATATGCTGTTGGCGAATCAGCATCTACGTGCAGGACGTTGGGATTCTTCTGGACAAAGTCGTGGCATGACATGCCTGAAGGGCAGAACTTCAAACCAGTAAGTGATCTCCGTCACAACTAAAAAATGCTGGTGATGCATGGATGACTTTTTAGCATCGCATGCATATGATGCTATTGATAGCTTAGTTGAAAAGTGTGGCCTGGTACAAAGTGCAAGCAAAAGGAATCAAACAGGCTGGACTGGACTGGACTTTGGATGAGAATTCCGATAGCTTGGGCAAGTTTGAGTGAAAAAATATGTTGGAGGGTTGGATAAATATCCAGCCCGTGCAAAAACCGGTCAGTGAAAGACATGGGACATGCAATTGGGACCAGGCCATCGAGAAGAGCCAAGCAAATCACAAAGCAGATGTAAGGGTAGGCAATGGACCGTGGATACAGATGTGGTCACTTGACAGCTCGAAGTCGCGGACAGTTGTTTAAGCAAAATCCACAACGCAAAAATTGCCACGGCTCGGCGGGAAAAGTATGCATTGCACACTTTGCCAGCGATATAACTACACATCGACATCCAGAAATGTCAAATGGCCAATAGCCACTGTCTGCCTGCGACAGCATGAAAAAGCTAAGAGCCTATGTCTTGTTCACCTGTGATTAACAGCTGCACGTGACCTCTTCATTAACATGGAAAAGGGGCCTCCCACCACAACAGCCCCAGGATACGATCAGGCCCTTCAAATGGCTGCAGGCACAAACCACGGATGTAGCCATTGCTGAGCAGCATCCCAACAAGGGACATCGTCATGCATGCCACCACGTTGATGAAGCTCAAATGAATCATGAAGGGTATCTCACAAAGCCCATGCAAGGCGGGGGAAGAGTTCAGGCTTCGTGGCTGGCCAAGCCGCTTCCGCAGCCGAGCCCAAGCATAGCTTTCCGAGATGCCCAAGGAGACGGTTTTCTGCATCTTTTTGCGCTCAAGGGCATCGGTGTCGGAAATGGAGGTCCTTGACAGGGAAGAGTTCCTTGATCTTCGACCGGTTTGGTCAAGCTCTGCCATTCTCCATGGGTCGGCAGGGACGTTTGGGACATACTCCAAGGTGATGAGTTGCGCAGGGTCAGCATTGTCTCCGGTCACGTTAGCTTTCAGCAGGCCAGGCCCTGCAGGGTTCACCGGGAGCAGCCCTCTGGTTACGATCTCATCCTCCAGAATCTCAGCCAAGAGTATCGATGGGATCAGAATCGTGACAGAGAGGTTGAAGGTAGGAGCTCCAGGACCATCAATTCCATTGACTCCATGCATGATGGCTCGACCCATGCAAAGGGCAAGGATGAACACGAACCTGAAGTAACCGCAGTAGACCTTCATTTCATCGTGATACTTGCTCCACCCTGTTGGCGCAAAGAGTTTCATAGCCGTAGGACCTCCGAAGGTAAACTTGGTGAGCTGGATCAAGGCAAAGCGGGACCACCCCAGTCTTGCCGAGATGTTCAACAACAGACTCAGGCAGCTGGTGGGAACCCAAGAGTAGCCTCCACTGAGCACAGCCCCTGCAATGGCCGGTCCTGGAATCAACAATTGGTCTCCCACCAAATGGCCCTGACCATTCACTTTCTTAGAGTGGACCAAGTAATTGTAGGCCCTTCTGGCTGCGATGATGCAACCGGTCTCCCCAAAGGCTGTTGCCAGTGGTAAGACGACAGCGGCAGCAAAAGTCCAGCCAGCGGTCAACAAGCTGGCATAGATTAGAGCAATCGCTCCAAACAAGACCCGATACAGGCGACTGTCCACATCAAATGGAGCAAGAAGCGCCGATCCGGGTGTGCCTTACGTGTGTTGAAGTAGTGGATTACGGAAGATTGCATGATCAGACCAGACCCAATGTTGAAGATAGTGAACTCTGAGAGCTGCAAGTAGGACAGTGCCAGCATTGTTCCAACTGTAATGATGACCATGAATTTGTGCATCTGATCTGTTGCTGGGACACCTGCCATAGTGTAGCAGCAAACCTCAGTGACAACCACACTTCCCGTCATTGTGGCCCAGTCAAGTCCTGACAGCAAATTCCGAGTCCATGGTAAAGTGGGCGCAGCCTCCTTCTCCAAAGCGATGGAGATGCTGATCTTCAAGGCGTGAAAAATCACGGAAATGAAGATGGCCATACGTGTACTTTTCCAGGTAAAGGTCCCAAAGGCTTTGAGTTCAAGGTTGGAGACCTCCACATCCATGGTGTTTGCCCGCTGCTTGTCCACATCCACCACGACCTCTCCAGACATCACAAAGCACATTGTCCTCTTCATCAGTCAGCCGCACATGCCGTGGCTTCCCATCGATGCCGGCAGTGATGGTCAGAAGCTGCCCATCCTGTAGCTCCACTCCATCTGGACCCCTCTTGGTCCAGAAGGTGCGAGGCTTTCCTCCAAGCTCCTTGGCAAAGCTGGAGACTTTCATTTTTGTACTCGGTGGCTGCCAAGTGAAGTAGTCCTCCGTTCTTCCATCCTCCATCGACTTCATAGTGACACGATCATCATTCTCCCCTTGGGTGAGGAAGTGTGCCAGGGGGCCTAGAAAACTCCCTGTCCAACTCTGTCCCACTCATGATTTTCTCGCTTATTTTGCATCTTGTACTGCGCCTCCAGCATCCAAACGCCGCTTTGCAAGGACCTGGTCAGCATCTCCACCTGGTCCAACAATGATGAGGCAGTGATCCTTGAACCTCTGCGCATCCAGCGTCATGTGAAAGCTTGCCAGGCTCAGCCGACCTGTCGTCTGGAGCCAAATGCTGAAATGCGATGTTGTCAAACTGTGTTGTCAGGCGGAAGGGTAAAACGGCAGCGCTGACCCGAGTAGCGCAAACCCCACAACCTTTGCACAGGTTTAAAGCAAGCCAACACATCAAATAAACATAAATAAGCCATTGTCTGCCCTACCAAGCCAAAGCATGTCGCCTGCATTGGGGCAGTTGCTGGAAAAGGTTGGGTCACCTAGGTAGCGTGGAGAGAATGTTCCAAACACGCACGCATGATCACTTTGAGATCATTCGGGCTGATCAAGCGCTCTGAAGTGTGGATTCAACCAAATTCCAACAAGCTGTGGAAGTTCAACACTCTCCTGGACTTTGGAAGAAGCAACAAGGCAACTCGACTGCAAGGATGGTGCCATAGTCACCACAGAAGGTTGTGTCGAATACAAGTCCTGAGATCTAGAAGGGAAATCTCACGCAGATCAGAAACGAGAGGAAGACAAAGTAGTGAAGCCAAGATAAAGCGATAAAGCGAAAGCCCACAGCTTTTGGTTGTCGACATCTCCCAGCATCGCCAAGGAACGCATTCGCTTGAAGTGCCCCGGGCCTCAAGTGGAGCAATCCATAAGGCCTAAGAGGCCTAAGAGGTCTTCAACGTATCAGTTGTGCGCTCTCCAATACCACTTGGCATCCGTGCTACAGAACTGGGAGTGCAAGGTGAAGAACGAAGTCGGCAACCCCCAGTTGTCAGGCCTTGGAACTAACACAGAATCCCACTCCACGGCAGTGGGCAGTCGGGCACTTTTAAGAATCTGGCACTGGCTGCTTTCGCATGAGGTCAGCTGGCTCCTTTTCAAGTGCAAAGGTTCGCTCTGCTTCTTAAGAGATGAGAATCAGTCCTGGCCCCTTCGAAAGAACCATGTGCCTTTACAAACAAAAAAATGCATTGCGTTCTTTTTCTCGCTGGACTGGCAGCTGCCTGTTATCTGAGGTCCCGTCGAATGACTCGTTTGTCAGGATCCCATTCAGCGGCCCATGTTCCACCTCCAGCCTGCACAAGTGGTTGTAAACGTCCTTGTTCAACCTGAAAACAGAAACTAACTTAAAGAGGTACTTGACTGCTGTTTATCTCAATATGTCCACGGTTTCTCAGTCGCCGGAGTGTTGGACCCGCCTGATTTAATGCCTTGCCCCAGGAGCCAGACGGCCTTAGCAGTCAATTTCGCAAGCACACCTGTGACAAAACAAGCATCACCACAGCTCCTAAGGCCTCTTCCAACGGTGGAGAGACTAAAAGTGAGTGACGTTCTAGCTCAATAACCCCTGAGCTCGGCACTGCTTCTGGCCACATCCCTGGTTCGTGAACTCGTTAGGAGCCTCTCCACAAACAAAACAAACATGTTTTCCCTCAGAGGTAGAGCAAAGTAGCTTCTTGTTACTAGTAGCGATGGCCTCCAACCTAGTAGCTTCTTGTCACTAGTAGCTCTAGGGCCTAGGGCGGCCTAGGGCCTAGCAAAAAAGCTCCTGACGTTCTCTTTTCTTCCTTACCCTGCCTGCACAAAGCAATTCTTGGCGGGCCCGCCCTGCTGGTTTGCGGACCATTGCCCACCAGAAAAGTCTGTGTCTTTGTTCACACTGCTCTGATCCTGAGTTGGAAAGGTTGGAATAGGTGATCAGCCAAGAGTTGCAAACGGCGTACCGTATACCCTTTAATACCAACCAGTGCAGCAGACTAGTGACAGGACAAGTTAGTTCATGTTTCATCAAAGTCCAAATTGTTCCGAGGAACACAATGGTCTCGGGTGTGTAGCGTAGTCGTGGCGAAGCTCTGGTTGTGAACGGCTTCTAGGATGTCATACTCTCCCCATCGGGGCCAAGCCTTTGAACATCATAGCAGACAGCAGCTTCTGTTGTTTTCTTTTTCACAAATGAAGCATAGAACATGATGAAATGTTTGGAAAAGGGAACACCAACAACTTTTCTTTGCAGCTTAAGTGGTTCAACAGACCGGGTTATTCAAAAGGCCCTAAATGAAGCCAAGCACTTCTCTTGCCGCACCTTTTCAGAGAAGAAGTACTGCAACAAACACATCATGACTGTGTCTGTTTCGACGAAGTGCTTCAACCATGGAAGGAAGATGGAAAAAAAAACCTAATGAAGTCTTCATACACCTTTGTACAAACAGTGCAAACTGAAAACTCTGTGCTAGGCCATATCAACAACGGGATCGTCAATCCAAAGACAGTCCCCTGTTCATCCCTCTTCAACTTTGGACCACGAGAATCCATCAGGCTGAAAGGAAAGCAAGAAACCCTATTAGCCTAAGTGCTGGACATGCTGAGAGTCCTGTGCTGCACAGGAGTCCATTTCACTGCTCTATCATCTTTTAGAATGAAGAGGGACCCCTTCAATAGACACCTAAAAAGTATCATCTTTTACAATGTCCTTTCTCCTAAAAGAAAAGCAAAGCATGAATCCCCAGGAAGTGCAGCGCTGCTCCTCCCCATACATCCAAAACGCTGGCCAAGCGCCACAGGCCACGGGTGCCTCTTGGGCTGCTTGTCTTGCAAGACTCTGGCTTTCCAATTTAAAGGCAATAAATTCCCTGTTCCTTCCCAAAATTTGTGTAGTTGAAAACGCACAAGCATACATCCAAGTCTATACAATGTAATTACAGCCAGAAAGCCAATGGCACAATGGCCCTGCGGTTTGAGGGAAATCCTTGAAGTACATAACATGGGTCTGCAGCCCCGACATGGTCGAGGTCAAGCACGAAGAGCCCGTCCCGGAACCACTCGTTCGACCTGGATGAGAACAATTGAGGAGCAACAATAGACTTTGCTTTTGATTTGCTAATTGAAAAGGACATTCTTCAGCAGAAACGTACACGACAGTCCATTTGAAATTGCAAGCTTCCTTGGAAACATAGCAAAGCTTTAGAGTTCAAGTAAAAAAGAATAAAAGGACCGGATAACCCCACATATTAAGCTTGCAAGAACTATCAACGAGAAGTAGAGACTTATAAGAAAAAACAAAAAGATAAAAGTAAATGAGATGAGTGGTGTGTGATGAGTGGTGTGTGATGAGTGGTGTGTGATGAGTGAAGTAGAATGAGGGTGTGTGATGAGTGGTGTGTGATGAGTGGTGTGTGATGAGTAGTGTGTGATGAGTGGTGTAAGATGAGTGGTGTGTGGTGAGTGGTGTGTGATGAGTGGTGTGTGATGGGTGGTGTGTGATGAGTGGTGTAAAAGAGTGCTGTGTGATGAGTGGTGTGTGATGAGTGGTGTGTGATGAGTGGTGT